CACTGGGGTACAGTCCCACACACACTGGCTCTCACTGGGGTACAGTCACACACACACTGACTCTCACTGGGGTACAGTCCCACACACACTGACTCTCACTGGGGTACAGTCCCACACACACTGACTCTCACTGGGGTACAATCCTACACACACTGTCTGTCACTGGGGTACAGTCCCACACACACTGACTCTCACTGGTGTACAGTCCCACACACACTGACTCTCACTGGGGTTAGGTTAGGGTCATTAGATAATGTCCAGGAGCAAGAACCCTGGCTCATAACCCTGCCTCGCTGCTCTCTCTGACAGATGCACCTGTTATTGTTCTGAGAAGCAGCATTGCAGAGACCCACACTTAGACTGACCCTTTCTCTTTCAGAGTGACTATAGTCCTTAGGGCAGAGCACTGAGACCCTGGGACATGGGGGAACGTGGGGGGTGAATCTGTCTCAGCCCATTTCCTTGCTGGGACGGAGGAGCCCCATGGGAATGGTGGCCGAGGATTAGCTGTGGACAACTTCTGTTTTTTTTCACCTTTTTTTATTCAGTCACGTGCGGAAGATACAAAGACGTTATTTATTTTTACACTTTGTAATGTAAACAGTGTTTCTTACTCTGATCCAACAGAAATGCATGAACCTCAAGATGATTTGGAAACGTTTGTTTATAGATCCCCAGCAGGGTAATGTGTAATCACTGTGCCATATTGGTCCAATTTTTATAAACAGTTGTTTCATTAAATCCTTAAATTTGTACAAATCTTTGTCAGTGTCATTTGTGGCACAGAAGGAGGCCATTCAGCCCATCATGTCCACATCAGCTTTCTTTAGAACGTTCCCTGAAGTGTTTTTTCCAAATTCTCCACTTCCCCCCACCCTCCTGGGCACTGTGTTCCAGCTCATTCTCACTCGCTGAGCAAATATCTTCTTCTTCACTTGCCCCCGTACTTACTCCCTCTCCAATCTCTCATTTAAAACCTTAAACTTGTAACCCCTGATCTATAAGCGAGTGGGAGCAGCTTTTTGCTGATGATCTTACCTAAACCTCTCATCCATCAATCAGACCTCCCCTCAATCACCTTTACTCCACGGAGAACAAGCCCAGCTTCTCTAACCTCAGCTTGTCAGTAAAGCCCCCTCTTCCCTGGCGTCATGCTGGGGCATCCCTCCCCACGCAGCCCCTCGAGGAGGCTCACAGCCTTCCAAATGGGTGAACCCCAGAACTTGTCTCAATGCTCCAGAGGTTTCTGAAGGTTCAGTGCAAGGTATGTGTGCGAGGTGTGACCTGGAGAGAGGTTAGGGGTGACAGCTGGATTGGTGGGGCGGGGGGTGGGGTGGGGGTGGTAGCTGGTGTAGTTTCGAGGATCAGGGAAAATCCAGTTGGTGTGTGGTTTTGCTGACCAGTGCAGGTTAGTACAGGCCAGGGGTGGGTACAGTCAGGGAGGGTAAGTTGATGGTGGATAAGGTCTGGGTGAGTAAGGTCAGCAGGAGCTGAGGATAGGTCAGAGCAGGAGGAAGAGAGTGCCAGTCCCGGGGTGGATGGGGGTGTGGGTTGGGGGGTGCAGCTTTGGCTGGGTTCAAGGAGCTACAGCAGGTTTGGGACGTCTCACATTTCCTGGGTCAATATGAAGGGAGGTCACTCACAGACCTGACCCTAGATTGTCTCAAGTCTCAGCTTTGTGAGCTGTTTCTGTGGATTCCATTATCCTGGCACAGGGTCCTGACGTAAAGCTTATTTCTGCTGCTGTGGTGATTGTCACCCAATCAAAAGGGCTTGGCCAAAATCCCGAGTATCCTATCCCCAGATA